TTAGTTGGACAGCGAAAGGGCCTGTAACACTTTTTCTTCGAAGTTGGTGACAGTGATGAATGAAAGGATATAAAGTGGGGCCTTGGAAAACCCCATGAATCACTGACAGAGGGAAGGAGCGTGACTCCAACTAAGGCACAAGGAACAGTGCATGTGTCCTGAAATCAGAATCAGTGTTTTCCAGATAGTGGGGGGAAAAATAACTTACTGGGAACTTGTCAGCGCTGGTGAGAATTACAGGTCTCAATAGTGAAATATGTGGAGAACTTCTCCCTGGTCCTTTATAGCCTTTTGTGGCAGAAACGTAATGAATTGTGATACTGGCTGTCAGTGTGCTGCTGCTGGGCTGCAGATGAGGGGAGCAGAGCATTTTGAGGTGCACACATGATTCCTGAGTACAGTAGATGTATTTTTGGAAGGCACCAAGGGTCACACTGACATAGCCGACAAAACACAACCATTTATAGGAGTAAAAAAATCCCAGTCCTAAGGAAAGTAGGGGACGGTGAACTGTAATTTTCTGTCAATCACACCATGGTGTTTTCTTACCCCATGCTCTTTGTTGGAAAGTATAGATGAGGTCAAAGCCAATAACTGGATTAGAGATTAAAATATTTAGCAGGAAAATGTCTGGAGGGGAGTTAGATCACATTATTTTCATTGCATAAAACAAAGCATAGCAACAAAGGGGTAAAAATGTCAACTCACTTGACAACTGTGCAGTCTTGAATCATGAACTGGGACGTAGCTCCAGGCTCGACAGAATCTCAGGTTTCAGGTGACGAAGCCAGAAGCTCCTGTTGGAAAGAAAGAAGACAAGATGATAAAAGATGAAAAGCTTTTTCTTCTGGTCACTCAATCATTTCAGTGTCATGTCAATTAACTCCTTGTTTACACATCAGTATCTCAATATACGTATATTAATATCTGTAGCTCAGATGCTTTTATGCCTTGATTCATGCTGCCCAGAACAAATTTGTCCTTTTGCATCCACTGGCAACTTTGCATTGACTTTATATACAACTGAGTCGCTTTTAGAAACCTTAAAATATACCCTCAGTCCTCACTACTTTTGCAATTTATCATCCCACTCTTTTACCTCTGTAAGTATTTTAAATATCAGATGCTGAACTTACTGTATTTTGTGGAGGACATGATTAACTGTCTAAGCAATGTTAAGGAGAAACTGTATTCTCTGTGGCAGCTGCTTTTCCTAACAATCCGGATACTCTTTCATTCTGATATGTACAGTAGACTTATACATAATTTATGACCTTTGTGTATGCATTACCTCATCATTACCAGTATTCAACAGGGGAGTAACTTGAGAAACAGAACATCCTGGTCACTGTCTATGACTAGTAAGTGTGGAATTTGCATCTACATTAAGATAATATACAACACATACAGTATTTGACCCACCTGAGCACGTTTTCAAACGCTGCATGCCATTACAGAGGCGGCACACCGGTGACATGACATTTGCTTGTGTAGTAATCAGGCATATTGACAAAAATCAAATAATGACTGTGGTGGAAGCTTATTTCCATCAGCATGCATTCATCAGCAGCAGCCATCCGAGTGGAAATGTGCAAACAGGTTTGAGAAAAGCCCAACCTCTCTGGGACTGGCCATTTGTTGGAATCCAATAATTATGTTGCAGCTAATCACTGTCCATTATCCAGCCTAGGTTCAATTTCTAACTGCAACAAACAACTCCATCACTCAGTCACTTCTTCTCCCGACAATACACAGCCAGGGAGCACACACACACACAAACATAGACATGATTATCTAATAGACTGTGGGGAGGATAATTGCACAAACTAATCGATACCACCTCATTAGGAGAACTGTTTTGGCTAAAAGGTCTATCTCAGCCCCCATCAGAGTCCTGTCCCTGTATATATTAAGAGGTAAAAATCATTTTACTTGAACGCCAAACTAGGTTTATCCAAAGCCACCTCAGCAGCAGTGCTTTTACAGAATGACACGAGATCAAACCGTGGGACATTACAGTAAAGCCTGGCTCATAAACTTCCTTTAAATGGCAGTAAAGCTGCTGTGATAGCCGTGTGATTTGTAGCTGCTGTCCTTTACATGTGTGAGCAACCAGCACAAACCCTGCATTTACACTGAAAGAAGTTAGAACCACCATATGAGGATGATTGGAAATACAGTGGGTACGGAAAGTATTCAGACCCCCTTAAATTTTTCACTCTTTGTTATATTGCAGCCATATGCTAAAATCATTTAAGTTCATTTTTTCCCTCAATGTACACACAGCACCCCATATTGACAGAAAAACACAGAATTTTTGACATTTTTGCAGAGTTATTAAAAAAGAAAAACTGAAATATCACATGGTCATAAGTATTCAGACCCTTTGCTCAGTATTTAGTAGATTTAACTTAGGTGCTGTCCATTTCTTCTGATCATCCCTGAGATGGTTCTACACCTTCATTTGAGTCCAGCTGTGTTTGATTATACTGATTGGA